TTTGAAGACAGAGTGAAAATTCTGATACCGAACGATGTATCTATGGCCATCTTGAAAGGTATCATCTTTGCTATCATTATCTTCTTCGTCAGTATCATAGGTACTATCATCAGTATCATTATCTTCTTCGTCAGTATCATTAATATCATCATCATTGTTATCGTTATCATCTTCGTTAGTATCATCATCGTCATCTTTATAAATATAATCAATATTATTATCAACACAATTTCATGATATCTTATATCTTACTGTTTTTTTTTATAAATTTTGATACGTCATCGTCCTTATGGCATTCATGGTTGTATCAATGATATCAATCTCATATTACAATCGTAATCATTACCATTATCAATCAATTATCGCCATCACTGTGATCACCATCATCACCATCACAATCATCATCATCACAACCATCAACGTCACCATTATCAGGAGCAGTGATATATGGAATAGATCCGTCCGTAGTAGTGATCCGGAAGTCGAGATTGACTTACGGGTTGGGGGTCTTAAACAGATTTATCGAAGGTCAGTCAGTAACATTCAGTTAGGTGGTTTAAGGTACCTAATACATAGACTGAATTGTGAATTAGTGAATGAATGAGTCAATGAACTACTACTACTACTACTTTAAAATAATAATGACAAACAGGCAAACATCCTGAAAGCAAGAAAGCAATAAAAGATGGAACGCCCTGGTGTGTTGACGTGTTTGACCCTCTGGTCTTCGCCAACCAATCAGTAGCTTTAGGTCTGTTATTCGTTTTTAATTCATTCATTCGTTTTATCTTTCATTCATTTGTTCGTTCGTTTGTTTGTTAGTTTATTTGTTCATTCGTTTTCATTCATTCATTCCTTTAGGTTCGTCTGTCATAAGAAGTTACACGCCAGCAAGCCTGGACCAGAAGTACAGTCTGTTCCACATTTACTGTTCGGAAGATAGGTCAGTGCATTTCTCATCATCATCATCATCATCGTTGACGTCACTCTTCTTCGTCATCATCATCATCACTATCATTATTTTCTTCTTCGTCATCATCACCATCATCATCGTCGTCATCATCATCAGGGATGTAAGTTACGTCACAGACGAGGGCGTAGCCAAGTGCGGCACCCTTCGGCTCGACCTTGACAACCACCAATGGGAGTTAGAGTCCAACCCGTCAAGACCCGTCAGCCAGCACGTGACTTCCGGCGGAACGGAAGTGGGAGCCAATCAGCACGTGACCTCAGATGGAACGGAAACGGATGTTGCAGGATTTGGAAGTGGAGGATTGGATGTGTCGAGAGGGAGGTTTGATTGATTCTTTCCTCTTCCATTCATTTTTTCGCTTCATTCTTTCATTCATTCATCTATTTATTTACTCGTTCATTCAATCATTAATTCATTCATCCAAATTCTGAATTAATCTCCATAAATTAAATTTTTTCAAAAATCTGCAGACGAGAAATTCAAGCCAGACTGACTTTCGGCGATACGGAGATAAAAATAGTGGCCCTGGATGTGGCCACAGGAAACTACGTCAGAGCCACTCTCGACTTTCTAAATAAATAATTATTATCATAATTATCGTTATAATTATTATTAAATTATTGGTGATAATTAATGTGCGAGTGCGTTTTCTGTGTGTGTGTTAGATGTTAAGGACACAAAAGATGCCTTAGTCTGTTTGTGTGCGTGTTTTATGCTTTTTAGAAAATATATAATTAGAGAGAGAAAGAGAGAGAGAGAGAGAGAGAGAGAGAGACTTACTAAAAAACGCTGAGTGTTAGAGAAGAAAGACAGAAGAGAAAGAGAGAGAGAGAGAGAGAGAAAGAGAGAAAAGTTAGGTCATGAACACAGTAAAAAAAGATATATAGAGAAAATATACTTTATATTATTGATCCTTCAAGAAAAAAAGAAACAGAAAAAGAGAACAAAAGAGAACAAAAGAGAAAGATAAAGAGGAAAGAGAGAGTAGATAGAAAGATAGAGAGAGGGAGAGAGAGGGAAGAGATGCCTGTGTATTTGAAAACACGCTTGACGCTACTTATGGTTGTGTCCAAATCTTTTTCTTGCACAGCGCGTTTATATTAACTACTTATATAAATATAATTACACACACACACACACACACACAGTAAAGTAAAATAAAGTATAAATATATATATATTATATAAATATATATTATATATATATTAATATAAACTGCATTTAAATAATTCACTAATTATTCATTAATTAATTCAAGAAATTAATGAACATATGAAGACTTTTTTATAACAAACAAATATTCATAAATATTAATATATATATGTATATAAATATATATACATATATATATATACATACAACAAGCTTTGCTTTTTACTATATGACTTTTTAAAGTACTAATTGAGTTTAGTATATATATATATTAATTTATTTCGCTATTTATTTTTTCATAATTTATTACCGTTGCTAATTATTTGTTTAATTACATACATTTATTTATTTATAAAAATTACGTTCTATATTTTTTATTCAATTTTCGGTATATAAGTGTTTTCTGATTTTATAATAATAATAAATAATAATAAATAATTATAAATAATAATAATAGCAATAATGATGACAACGACGAACCAAAGACAAAGTCATTTAGTATTTATTATTCACCTACGTTAACTACAAGAACCGATCTCCCAAAATATTACATTCATACATAATGATGATAATTTGAATCATAGTAATATCATTTAAAAAAGATATGTATATATATTCGCTTCTAAAACCAAGATTTTAATACAAATCTACTCACCCACACACACACACAGACAAACACACACACACACAGACAAACACACACACACACAGACAAACACACACACACAGGCATATCTTATCTGAACGGTTTAAAAGTGCTAAAGATACAACAAAATTATACCAATATATTTATTCACTTGTCTTTATAATGAGGGTAAAATAACAACACAAGAAAATAACATCTTCTGTATCAACATCTTCTGCTGTTGTTG